TAAAGAATTAAACCGGGAGCTCAAGCACCTTTCCACATCACCGATTTCACTTAGGCTCAAAGTGCACATCTGGCAACCCTGTTAGGCAGCTGAAAATGCTGACTGACAGCTTGACCAGCACTGGCCTGATTTTCACTCTATGTGACATTTGGTATATTGCCATGAAGCCTGGAGACTGTCACTTTGGGCAAAGAGTCAGTGCCAATAAATCTGTCATTTAAAAGTGCAAAATATGATTTAAATTTTAAAAAAAGAGCTTGTTTTTAATATCCTTTAATAGGAAGTGGGTGTATTTGTGTGACTACAGTGGCGAGTTTGCTCCAGAATTCACACTTACATGACTGCCTCGTTCAAAAAAAGCTTTTTAATGTAACTAACTTGTCAGCTTTTTCAGTATGAGTGTAAACATAAATGTGCATGCATGTGCATAAAATATATACTATTAACTGTGAACTATAAAATATTTAAATTCAAGCAGAAGGTGAGATTTGAAGTTAGAGGTCTGTAAAGGTCACCGGTGCAAAAGGTAAAGCGAAAAGGTTATTCTGATGTGAAATAAAGGAATGATGAGCAGTTTAATGCATCTGATCTTTGACCACCAGAATATCAATGATGTAGTAGCTCATCTGGCAGGTTAATATAGTACGTGAAGCACAAAAAGAAAGTTGTAAGCTGTCATTGGTTCGCTGTACAAACCAATGAGAATTAAAATCCATGAAGAAGGCAGGAAGCCTCTCAATTAGACATATTCAAAACAAATTAATCGAATTTCACTGCAATCTGAGCAATACTCAGTGAGGAAAAGAGCATAAAAATTGGAAAAAGGATCCATTAGTTGGTCATTGTGTTCAATCTTCGCTAAAATCTGCTCAGCGCTCTAAGAAAAGTAGCTAATTTTGTGAATTGTGGAGGGAGGGATAGATGGATAGACACACTGATGGACGACAGAGGCCTCGCCATCTCATTAACTTCCAGACTTACTTACAACAATTACTCCATTAATGGATTCACACCTCAAACTCCATCATTTATTTTAGAAAATAATAAGCATACAATAATATAAGTAGAGCAATAGAAAATAAAGGTAAGCACAATATATCACCAAACTGCTATTTGTTTATTTCCTGTACTAGAATCTAATTAATTCAGTTTAGTTTAACTTTGTTATCACCCACACTAGTCTGGTCCACCCCACAGTTTAAGCACCTCTACATTAGCGGTTTCAGCCCTGTTAAGGTATGTAAGACACAGTGTTATACTCGTTGTGTATTATTCATGAGTCTGTAGGAGGTCGAGGAACAGTATGTGTGTTCTTCTAACAGCAGGAAAATCTTCCCTTTCTCTCTCTGCAGCAATTCCCAACTCATCCTCCCTGAATTTATTATATACATATAAAGTTTGTGTCACTACACCTAAGCGCTGACCAGCCAAACTAAACTTTATTTGAATTCACTTAAAAAGTTTGCTTTGAACCACTTCCTGGCCAGCAAAGGTGCAAACATGACACAAACTGAAGGGAGGCCAAGCGACCCTAAAGCTTCTTCTGTGTCTACGCATACTTGTCTAATCCCTAATACCGCCCCAGAGTCTCCAACTCGGACACTTTACTGGCCCGTTTCTGAAAAGTTAAATTTACGTGTGTGTGTTTTAAAAAGGTTAAAGGGTTCTTTTGAGAAGCAGAGCAAAGTTAGTGGTGAAAGACTCCCAGCCACATCAAGTTCAGCATTTATGATTCATGGCAAGAAGACTGGGGGCTATAACAACACACAAACACTTAGAAAGACGTGCATACTTAAATGTTGCTTAAAAGTCCATTAAATCGAAATATATGTTAAAGGAGTAAGTGCACTATGTATTGAGTAAGACCACAGTTAAAGAGGACATTGTGCTTCGCTCTGTTTTGCTGTCTCAGCTCCAAGCACTTAAAAATATGGCATAAAATATGAAGAACGCTTCTTTCCCAGTCGTTGAAACTTTGTTGTAACTTTTCATTTATATACAGATTTTTGCCACACAGACATGTCCATACACCCCCTGGCAAGAAGAGGCATTTTCTGGCAAGGTAGCTGGGTCAGCATACAGTTTATGAGCAAAGGAGGGAAAGACAGACACGAGAAAGTGTTAGACAAGGTCAGCGAGTGTGAACGCACAGTGGTGAGCAGGCTGTAAATTCAGCAGGTTTAAAGGTCTGCACGGCAGTTTAGTTACTGCGACTATACGGCATGTTGAGTGACATCCTCATCCACCGACCTCCCCACCGAGCCAAACAAAACAAGGTCTGTTCCCTACCGGCAACATCTGACTGAGAGAAACCCACACACCTATCACACAATCACACTAAATCAAGCTGCCAACCTCCACGTGCACGCCCACACTCACCCACCTCAACAGGATTCCTCACCTTCATCTTGGCACAGCACAGCCAAAAGTAAAACAAGTTAGGTCACACGTGTGTTTAACGAGGCACAGCAACAGACATAAAGTATCTCTTCATCAGAGAAAATGTGGTGCATTAGTTAGAAATGCCAACGCCAGGCTTAGAGCTATTATATTAAAAGTAATTGATTTATTTTATTCACTAGAAGGAGGCATTTATTTTAAAGGTCTGCTTCTCCTCATAATTCTGGTGATTTGTGAAGTTTCCCCTTATACAGTTTTTGGAGCTTGCATCTGGGTTCTGAATAACAGACACAACAAACTAAGAGTGAAGACTGTGTGAGCTCTTTGTGAAAATGACTTTCCTATGAACCTGTTCAAAGCAGTCCCAATCACAGGAGTATTTTGTACCGTCCCTCCTTTATCCTAGATTTCTTCCTTCCACGGTCTCTCCCTCAAGACCACACACACTTCAGAACAGAGACAATGAGCAGACCACATCTCAAGCTCTTTCACACACCAGCCCAACTGGATTTCTCTTTCTACAGCTGTTTTACATGCAACAAAGTTACCTGAAATGTGTCACAAACCTGCTGACTCAGACTCAGGAAACAAAACAACATCAAAAAAGGCTTTAACTTTATATGATCGATTTGACCCTGTCACAACTTTCAGCTACAAAGTCGTTCTTCATTGCCTCAGCATCATAATAAATGCAGACGATTAGTCATCCACATCCCAGTTGAGGTGCTACACTGTGGCGCTGTTACATAAAGAAAAACCCTCCTGAACTCCATACACTACAGTGGAGTCACTGTTTAACAAGGCTCAGGTCCACAGGGTCTCTGTGTAGAGATGCTGTGGAGATCAATCGTGGAGGTGGGAGCAGAGACTAGATTTTCTAGAGGGATTCCTCATCCTGGTCCACAAGGCTGAGTGTCAATGGCTTATGCCCTATAAGCCATTAACACTCAGCCTTGTGGACCAAATTATACATTTCTTTTTTCCTAATGGTGTTTTGATGTAATTTGCTTGCTTGCTCGTCTGTGGTAATAGCACATACATCTGCCCCATCATCAGCCTAGGCATATCAGTGTATTTGTTCAGAATAGAGCACTTCTTAGAAGCAGTGCTGCAGTAAGGAGGCTATCTCACCATGCATGCATTAGCTTTGTGCAAGTACTTTAAAATAAAATAAACTGGTGTTGACTGCCGTGATTTCTAGATTGCATTATTAGGCTCCAAAGTTGAATGTTCTGCAGTGTGAACTTTTAATATTTTAGCACTCTTCAAAAAAAAAAGGTAAAACGTTCTATTTTAGGAATCTGTGCTTATGCTTTGAATGAAATCCAAGTTATTTTTGACAATATTGTGCAGCTTTAGTCTGCCTATGTATTTGTATGCCAGTCGGTTAGACTGTGTGCTTGTGTGTGTCTACAGGAAACCAATCTGACCCAGGGGATTAGTAGCTGACCTGGAAAGTGACTCTCATTCTGTTCCAGATGTTTATCACGTGATAAAAGGTTAGCCCCCTGTGAGAAATAGGTAGAAATGCAACCTAATTTTTTCAAGACACAGGCCGTGTTCTCGCTGGAAAATCACCTTTGCATCTGATTCTGTTTAGGGTATCAAAGAGGTTGAAGTCACAAGATCAGACTTGTACAAGCAGACACTGCCTTTTGACTCTTGACAGATCTTATCCTAGAGGCTGACACTCAGACATATGTCTATGGCAGATGTGGCCACAAATGGGCTCTTTTTCACATACACAGTAGACTTTATCCACTTTACCGTAGTTAAGATCCAGTGCGCTGTAATGACAGAAATATAGCTGCCAAGTAATGTTAAAATATATCTATATAAATATTTAAAAATAATCCCTTCAGGCCAGAATATTTTAAATTGGAAACCTGCCTGACATTAAAAAAAACTGGCAACACTGTAGCGTGCTTTTTATTAAAACAACCACAGATGCACTCTAGGCTTTAAATAACCGCATAAATTCAGCCTTTCACCCCTCGTTCAACCGGTGCAAGCCGTGCGTAATGAGAGCTGCGCGGCTGGAGCGCACCAGCTGGCTGTACAAGAAGAGGCGTCAGTCTTCAGCATGAATCCTAACAGTTGCTAAGTTCTAGTTGCCATAACACCTCTCAATCATGCTCTTAGAACTCACAGCGGCGTAAAAGTGACGATAAATACCCCAGGTTTAGGTGGTTAAACAAAATGAGTGAAAAAACTTCACATTTCTTCACACATCTTTGTAGACTGACGGGATGATATTGACTCGGGATGATACACAGCTGTGTATATGCAATAGTTAGTGTCTGCATTGATATTAAAATGTGGGGGTCTTTTTGGGTTTAAAACACAAACTCCACATGGATAAATTAACACTTAGAAATAAGCACGAGAGAAAATCGGTTTCGTCCACCTGGGCTGAATGAGGTTGAGGAGACGATGTGGCCTCCGGTGGGTTTCATGAAAGAGACCCTTTCCATTTTTGATAAACGTTTCTTAATAACTCCTACCGATAAAAAAAATGTCCAGACGCGGAGAGCAACTTCTTACTATTATTTTGATAACGACCTTCAGGAAGGAGGTTTTTTTTAAGGAAAAGTTCTTACCGAGATACTGTCTGATGTCTAGCAGGATTTTAGGAGGTCCTCCGTTCAGCTGGTAAAATAGGGAGCCGAAACAGAAGAGAAACAGCGTAGCCATGCAGACCCCATAACCTCGGAGAGAAAATCGCAACGGTAAAACAGAGAGTAAGCTGTACTTTCTGCTGTTTCGCTCTCTAATGTGGTTGGTAGACTGGCTATGGCTGTGAAGGGCACTGCTGTTGAAATTCTTCATCCTCTTCTCCTCACAAAGCGCTGCGGAAAGTCACCCATTCGCATGCGGAAAGTGAAACTTGTCGCTTTGAGATCATTTGAGTGAGACGGACAGTTAACTGGAGACGCGCTGGCACCCAGATCTTCTCCGCTGCTGGAGCCACGGGGCTGTTTTTTTGCGTACAGCGTTTCGCTTCTGCTTGCTCCTGCTCGCTGGATGACTGCTCCTTCCTTCCGTCCTCCCAGCCGAGTTAAGGGTCCATCCTTCTGCTCAGAGTCTGGGTGTCAGATTACTAAACGTGGAAATCAGAAAAACTTCCACTTCACACAGGATTTGGTTTGGATTGCAGTGCGTAAAACAGCGTCGCCTAAAGGCCAGGGAGCGGACTCTCATATGATATCGGTGGAAACGAGTCAATTATCATGCAGCAGCTTTTTTTAAAAAAATAATCGTAGTTCTGTAATTTGTGTTTACAGAAAATTTTGAAAAAAAAAGGCTTTAAAAAACAGACGGAAAAGTTTATATTATCTGATAAAACGGTCATTACTCGTAAAAAGCTTAAAATTGTCTTATCGCCAAATGAAAAGGAAGTATTTGTCTGATAAATGTTAAAAAGAAGCTACCGAGTAAGTTTATCTGCTCACCCCTCGTGTGTGTGTATGTCGTAACTTTCTCTTTCCCCCTCAGGCCTGTTGTTAGAAGCTTTGCTTTCCACAGCACAGCCAGAACCCACCATTACACTACACCTGTACTTAGGAGGCCATTCAAAACAGTAACTATTTCCTTGACAGCTACACAGGAGCTGTGACAACAATTTGACTCCACGGGGCAAATGTAATAAAGAGGAATAGAGAAAAAACTGTGAGCACAATGAAATGAACAGCATAATGCAAGCTAGACACAAAAATAAGGAATTTAGTCAAAATCTGCCATACAGCACAGAAGTTTATTTCATGGTACTACAGTATGGAAAGCACTGAGGACACCACAGTACCTCAGGCGTAGTCTAATTAGAATTACTGGACATGGCTCCAAAAGTCTTCTCCTTTTGATGTGTTTCAAGTCTCACATGCACCAAGAGGAAGCTCATAGTCTGCAAGGCCACTGCGAATGTTTCAGATGTTGGTCATTTAGATGTGTTTACTTTTAAGCCATCTTAACTTTAAAAGACTACTATGAAGATACTATAAAGATATTACTGACCAACTCTGTGTTGGTCAGTAATATCTTTGGACTGTAGTACTACTGACGTTTCTTTGAGTTTGCGCTTTAACATAGATGCACTGTGCATCTGCGAACCAAGCTGTGACTCCTCAAAGATTTGTGTGAACTATACAGATTAGTAAAAGCTTGAAAAATACCAAGAGAAACAGAAAATGAACTTCAGTTTTGCACAACAAACCTTGTGGTGGTGGAGTTATTTAAATCAATATCGACCTCTTTTATGGGATAAACGGTGCAAACAAATTTAATGATGGATTAAAGTATTGCATTGTCTTCAATGTATCACTGTGTTTTGTAGAATCTTGGGATAATGAGGACACCTCTCAGTCTCATGGGACTAAATATGCTGGTGGTTCCTGCTTTTGATGAAGTCCACAATGATCCAGTCACACTCGTTGGTCACTTTATTATGTAAACCTTGCTAATACTGACTTGCACCCCTTGCACCTCCAAAGTTCAAAACACACCTCAGAGATTTTGGTCTATACTGGCATGAGGAAATCACACATTTGATTTCTTCATGTCAGTTCTCAGTCATCCAGGTCGTGGTAGTCTAAGGAGCTTGGAAAGAAAGCGACTGGACCTTTTGAAGTTTCTTGAACTTTCAAAAAACTTAAAGACGAGTTGCTTTCTTTCCAAGCTCCTAGAATAGCACAGTTGCAGACATGCCAGCTACACATCCATCATGTGAATCCTCCATTCCACCACATTCCAAAGGTGATCTACTGGATTTAGATCTCGTGACTGTGGAGGCCATTAGAGTGAAGTGAACTCATTCTCATGTTCAAGAAACCAGTTTAAGATGATTTGAGCTTCGTGTAATAGCATGTTACCATGCTGGAAACAGCCATCAGAAGATGGGTACGCTGTGGTGAGTAATGATACTCATGTCGGCTGTGGCTTTTAAAGAATGCTAAAATAGTACCAAAAGGCTCAAAGAGTGCCAAGGAAGTATTCCCTACACCAGGGGTGGGGAACTCCAGGCCTCAAGGGGCTGGTGTCCTGCAGGTTTTAGATATCACCCTGGGTCAACACACCTGAATCAAATCATTAGTTTATTACCAGGTCTCTGAAGAACTTCAAGACATGTTGAGGAGGTAATTTAGCCATTTAATCCAGCTGTGTTGGATCAAGGACACATCTAAAACCTGCAGGACACCAGCCCCTTGAGGCCTGGAGTTCCCCTGCCCTACACCATTACACCACCAGCAGCAGCCTGAACTGTTGATACAAGGCATGACGTAGCCATGGTTTTATGTTTACTTTAAATCAAGAATCATCAGATCAGCCAATTTTTGGTGAACTTGTGTGAATTGTGGCCTGGATTTCTTGATCTTAGCTGACAGAAATGACACTCAGTTGGTCTTACACATGTTGTCTGTTCAGAGATGGTCTTCTGCACTTTAACAGTTTCTACTTATCAGCCCAAAGCAGTCTGGCTATCCTCCTCTGACCTAAACAACACATTTTTACCCAGAGAACTCTGCTCACCGGATATTTTCTATTATTAGGACCTATTGATGGTTATGTGAAAAAATCCCAGTAGAGCAGCAATTTCTGAATACTGCACACCTAAATACATTGATATGCTGACGCATAAGTGCATGGTTAGATGTGTACCTAATAAAATGGCCAATGAGGTATCATGTATGGTGGATTGTTCTATCAAGAATCCCTCAGGATCTTAGGGAGCTTTCATTATAGGCTGTGGCAAGATGAAGTTATACAGCATCCATTCAAAAGCTTGGAAAGAGAAGTGATTCAGAACAATGGCAAATCAGCTAAAGCAGACAAGGTTCACTGTAAACCTTTCCCCCTGAAATATGTCAGTTTCAATGAGCAGTGGTTCTTTCTGACATTGAGTCGGGTAGGCATAAAGTATAACTATAAGACTATAAAACTATAAGAGATTGTTGAACTGTTGCTGCTTATTTGTTGGAGGGTTTCTTTTGCAGCCATCACATATTTTTGATCTTATCCATCTTGAAGGAAATGCTTGTTTAG